ATATATATATGTACAATTCTGTTCTATTGTACCATAAGAACTGTATTAATTCATGTAACAAATGCTTGAATGTAACAGGTGTTTATATTTATTTAAAACTTGAAAATAYAAGCAGTGGTTGATTATAGGGATTATCTTATGTTATTTTTAGCAATGGGTATGTTGGGAGCCATCTTTGTTTCCTGCAAATGACTCATGTGTATCACTTAAGTATTTTCTCTAACACTTTGAGGTGGGAAWCATAATTACTTCCTGGGTTGTGTTAACCAGCACAGCCTTTTGAAGTGAATGGAGTGCTACAGTTATGGATCTCGACAGGGACAGAAGGTGGAGATTGAATGGGAGCTTAAGRGTTCTGCCTGCAGAAATGCAGATGAAGATGAGGTTTTTTCTTTCTTTTAGACAATAAAAAAGCATTTGGCCAAAGAATGGGTATGAAAAGAAATTTGCTCTTTTTATGGAGCCTGTCTGGTGAGGTTAGATGATGTGGACATGAGATAGTTAATGTTTGGCCACAAGATAATTATTTCAGTCATTTATGCAGAGACTGTTAATTAACCTGGACAAGTTTAAATTAATTAATTACATATTACTATAGGAATAAATGACAAGCTTCAGTCTCTTGAGGTTAGGAATGGAGTATTAGCCAGAGTTGTAAAGTAACTAAGTACAAATACTTTGTTACTGTACTTAAGTAGAAGTTCTGGGTACCTGTACTTTACTTGAGTAATTATTTTCCAGCATACTTTTAACTTCTACTTCTTACATTTTCACACATTTATCTGTATTTTCCACTCCCTACATTTTTAAAAAAGGCAAGAAGTAGAAAGCAGTTACTTTTATTGCATTTTTCTTGTTTTCATTCCAGCTTGTTATTGTAAAAAATAAATTCTATCCATAAAAATTGTGCCTCCTAGAGAGAGGGTGACTTTAATTGTGGTTGAATGAGAAGTATAAACGTATAAAATTCTAATACTGTATTAGTTTGTACACAAACAAATCATGTCACACTCCAGCAAGACATAGCAGACATATGTAGCCTGGTACAAAGATGCATGTGGCAGCATATATATATATATATATATAT